TTCTCCCTACTCACCTGCCAAGATATTTTGATTCATCAAATCTTAGGCTCAGGAATTTATATTTTAGCAAACACTCCAGGTAAATTTATTATCAGGAAAGTTAAGGAAATAATGACTCTAGCCTCACACAGTTGCCACTTGTAAGTCAGTGATTCTCGGTGTGGGGTCCCAGGAAGAGAAGCATCAGTCTCCTGTGAGAACTTGTTAAAAATATAAATCTTTTGACCTCTCTTTAGACCTACTGAATCATAATCTCTGTTGATGAGCCCTAGCAATCTATATTTTAACAAGTTCTCCAGGTGATTCTAATATGTGCTAAACTTTGAGAACTACCGTATTAAAGAAAGTCCAATTCTAGCCAACAATAAACACTGATTGTTTAATCCCAGAACAACTTCCAGGGACAAGAAATGCAATAAGATGAAGCACCCTGGTAAAGTTCTTTATCTCTCAGAAAGTGTATTCTCTTAAGATGTCTCCAGGGAGACCCTCTTAAAGAACAAAAAGAGGCTGACTGACCAGAGGGTTCATTTTACTGCTAGGGCAGAGTCCTTGTCTAACAATTTACAGTATATTCTTTGAACCAGAAACTACTATATATATATTTTTTACTTTCTTCTTTTTTAAAATGGTAGTTTTTTTTTTCCTGGTTATTTCTCCACAATTGTATATTGGGTATGTTGTGGCGAAGGGTAGTTTATAATTTAACTGCAGGTGACGAGACTACTAGGGTGATGGATCTGAAGATGGCTGCATGTCTACTAGAGATCTTAATGCTAAATGCAGTAACTGGCTAAGAATTTAGATTTTTCTCCTTTGGAGAAATCAACTCAATACATGTATGTGTGGACCTCTTTGTAAGTGGTTATGTGGGAAGAAAGGTGTCCATGGATGCTTACTACCCAAAGGAAGAAACTATACTAGATATTTATGATTGGTTTATGACATTTACTCTTTATGCCCTTGACTTTACTAGGAATCCATTTCGTTCCACAGAGTAATATCCTAGGATTCAATGCCAATCAGTGCATTTCATCCTGGACACTTCAGTGATTGGTTCAGGTATGTGACCTAAGCCAGTTTAGAATGCATCACAGGACATAGGTTATTTATCTTTTTAAACTGGAACTGCAATAGCCTGGAACTGCTGGTCCAATTTTGCTACCATGAGGAAAGGCAAATTGAGAGGAGGGAAAATCCTAAAGAATCACACACTGAGCCTGAGCCTCAATCAAACTGTGCCTGAAACACATCTAACCTCTGGATTATTTTAGTTACATGTATCTGTGATGCTTGATCACTGTTTAAACTGGTTTAAAATGGGTTCCTTGTTACATGCAGAAAAGCAGTCTGCTGGAAAAGTCAAATAAAAACTGTCATAAATTTGTGTATGACAGATATGAGTGGAAGCTGGAATAAAAAGGGAATATCGTTCCTCTCATTTTTAGTTACTGATTATATTACCTTAACTTTTCCCACAACTTCAATTTATAGTTGTTTCTCCTTTTAACTTACCTCAATAAAAATAAACTGGCCTCTCTCAAGGAGTTTCTTCCACGAAACCAATCATTATACATTCTATTAGTCAGAAATTTTTGCCTGACAGAAATGATGGCTTTGCAAGGATATGTGAGTTTCCATTGAACTAGGTTTGGGTTTGAAAGTTTGAATTAGTCACACTTCCTTCATTTCCAGATTCTAAACCAACTAAAAATATACACAGGAATCAAAGAGATATTAAATATTAGCTTTAATGTATTAAGTGAAAAAAATAAAATTCAGAACAGCATGGATAGTGTGCCACCATTTGTATGAAAAAAAAAAAAACTGATACACACATATATAATATGCTTATAAATACATGGGTTATCTCTGGAAAGATACATAGTAACTGGTAACTGTGGTTACCTTTGGAAAGTGGAACCGAGAGACTGAGGTCATGGTTGGAAAAAGAAAAGGAGACCGAACTTTTATTGTATACTTTTTTGTACTGTTTGATTTTTACCAGAGGCATGTTTCCCACCCCCCCCCAAAAAAAACGACTTATATATTAAAATTTTTAAAAGAATAAAAATAGATACCAGATTTGTTGCTGATAAATCTGGACTGGATAACATGGTTTGGAAGTGAGCCTGAAATGAACTTCTTCCCCAAGTCTAAGGTGGATGTTTACCCAGCCACGTAGTGAAGGACTGTGGTCTTTCCCATACCTTGCTGTGAAGAATGAGCTGAAGAGACAAGAGGGGCCTAGGTTGCTTATCCATAATAACCCTTTAATCAATTTTACCAAGTTATTCTTCTTATCATATGGAAAACTGAATGAGTGGCAAGTAGAGACAAGCATAAGTTTTCTTCCAAATATTTTTGAGATATGAAATTCTTTATTTATTTTTCCGTGAGTCAGGAACTTGGAGAGAGGCAGAAGATAGATTCCATCATACCCTTGGCCATTTTTGTTCTCTTAAGCTACAGTGGCCAATACCCAAATCCATGGTGAACAAACAGGGCTTGACTGTCCCTTTCATGGGAGACCAGCAGTATCTTAGGAATGCCCTGCTTCAAACTGTGGAAGACTGGTGAGAAGTTCTGTTTTTGATCCTAGAAGGCTCTGAAATAAGTCAGAATAGAACAGTTATTCAATTAATTCCAATGCTACCTTATGCCCCAGGCTTAGAATTCACTCACTATTTTATCCCCAGTTTACAATTATGTCAAGACACATTCTATAACACAGCTTACAAAGATTACACAATAATACCCAAAGATAGTACATTAAAATACTCCAAAAATTACAACATCAACAACATAATGAAAATGCCTCAACTTTAACTGTATGAAACCCACACCAACTATTAAACTCCAAGGGAGAAATGGATGCTCCAAATTAAATTTCTATTTTAAAGTCCAAAGGAATTAAAGTCCAAAATTTTGCCTTTCCCATTTTCTTGTTTTTCTCATTTTAGCCATACAGATCTCACAAAGATGTTTAGACAGATGTGGGGTTCCTTCAGCAGCTGCAGCCTGGACTGTCTTTTTCTTGATTGGGTGTAAAGTCCTTAGGATCAGGAGCTGAATAAATCTAACCCCACAACTCCATGTTACACATTTTTAAGATTCCACAGTATCAACAGCACAAAAGATTATTACAGTATCATCCTCATATCCAAAAATTTAGAAAGGACACTAATTCCCAGCCACTAGAACAGATATCCCAAACAAATTTAAGTCCCCAGGACTTAGTACATAGGGTAGTACAGACCTACATTGCCGTCATCAGTCAAATATCCAAGCAAAGACTTGGTGGTATCAAAAGGAAAAAAAAAAGTAGACAGAGAAAAGATGGGAGAAAAGAATATTTTCTTGGTTTCATCCTGAGCAGGATGCCAGTCTGTCTATGCAAGCAGTCTGCAATCCATGACCTGTGAACTTAAACTAATTTGGAATAACTTTTCCAAGTGTTTGATTGTATTGTCATGAGTCCCAGTTCTAAATCTGTAGAAGTCCAAGGCCTGTTACTGCTAATGGAGCTTCTACAGAAACCCAATGAGAAAGCATTGGTTTTCGCCAGGCGCTTCTCTCCAAAACCTTACTTATCTTTCAACTGTTCTTTCCTAGGCTTTGGTTAACCTTCACCAATACTTTCAATGATGGAAGGTACAATACCTGTTCTATTACTTATTTTTCTGCTGCAGTAGGGCTCACCCTTATTTGCACATGAGTATCTTAGGACCAGCCAACAAACAAGATGAAGTTGAAAAACAGAACACTAACAAGTATCTATTAGATTTCTATCTACTAATGACAACATTAAGCACTTAAAACATCATCAAACCAATTGATCATCAATACTGATTCTAATTTATGTGTTTCATAGTTCTGCTAGGACACCATAATAGATAAACCCACCAATCTCTACAAGGAAGCAAAGCCTATTTCCAGCCTTTCTTAGTTCTAGAAAGTGCCTTGCCCACATCATACACTGGGACTCAGAAGTCCCCTAAGAATCAAATCCAAAACCTAATCTAAAGTTTCTTAAAATACAGAAAATAAATCTGTATCTCATCCTGATGTGCGCTCTTTCCTTTTGAGGTCCTGGACAGACCTGACAACCCTTGCTAAACCCAGGTTTTATCCTGTGACAGAACTCTAGCTAGAGCCTGGCTTAATGCTCCACTGGGCTGGCAAAGCCCACTTGTGTTAAAGTTTGCTTGCACAACCTGCATCTGTTAAAACCCCCTCCATATCTACAGGTACTAGTCAGAGATAGTGCAGACAATAGAAACCCTAATGCCATTGATGACCAATCTTGATTTCTCCTTGGAGTTTGGTTCACAAATGCTTGCCCTCTTATCAATTCCAGAAGTTTTCTCAGCCTTTGCTTATGTAGAAAAATGAAAAGTAATTACCCCTTGATTTTGGAACAAGTTGAGCAATAGATGCAAAAATCAGAAAGGGAGAAAAAAATGTTAGTCTTACTTTCAGTACAGTTAGAATTGAAAATACAACTTGGGCAGTAGACCAAAATGGACTTCCACTATTCCCAAATTAGACTTTTGAAGCTACCTGGGGGGAAGATTTGAAGTTGCAAAGACACTTACCCAGCCAGTCACAGTGAATATCTCAGGAAGCTTCACAGTTCCATGAGTGCAGGGAATACAAATGCCCACAAGAATGAGACAACAGGTGTTCAGCTACATTTAACCTATCAGTATCATCCAAGATAAAGGTATGGACCAATGGATATCAGACTTTACTCTTCTCACTAATAGGATAAATCAAGTATTCTCCTATGGCTAGAAAGCAGTAAAACAGTTGGAGAGGAGGGCAAAGGTTTCTTCCACTAAGGTCTGACTGGGTAAAAGTTCCATTTTTTTTTTGGCTGGGCAAAAGCATGCAGAAAGGGAAAAGATGATTCATACAAATTGGAAAGTAATCAAAACTTTATGTGTGAACAGACTTTACAAGTAGTCTCACATTTTTGGCAAATTTCAAGATGACCTTTAAGATGTTTTTACCAAATCGTAGATGTAGATGTGGAAATCATCATCAAATTTGATGAAGTACACAGAAGGCTTTGCTTCTACCTGATGAATGACCATGCCAGTTCTCTTGGAACCATTATCTTTGGCATATTCCACCTGTTTTCTTATTAGGATGTCTACAATTTCTCCTGGCTCCCTCTCTGCAGGAGGAGAATCATTGGAATCAGGAAGGATGTGTAGGTCACCATCTTTATAATCATCTAAGAGCTGGTACATATATAATACAGGATCTTTCTCATAGGTAATGTAAAACCATGTTTTCATGACGGGTGCCTGAGCTAAGATCATCCCTCTCCATTCATTTTTGGAACCTTCCTCTGTCTCAAAAATATGTTCCACTGCTTTGCCAATCATAATTTCAGTTAAGTGTGTATTACTGAGTCTAAATGATGCAACTTTATTAGGAAGTACTTCAAGTGATGACACTTTTTCATTTCTGTGCAATTCCAATCCATAAACACAGTCAAATCCATTATATTTGATAAGATACAGAGAGAAATTTACAGGTACCTGATCCAAAACGGTTCCCTTCCACTGAGTTAGAGGTTCATCTCCTTCTTTCCATCCGTGCCGAGTTCTGCAGTCTACGATATTATTCCGAGGCTGGAAGGTGGGTCTGCTCCTATGCTTCTTGTGTACAGCCTTTCTTTTCATCACAGTAACATCACAGACACTTGTGCCTGTTCGGGACTGCTGCCCTGCAGCCGCCTTACCGAACGGGGTCTTCACATCTGGGAGCAGCACAGTAGCAAGGCAGGTCAAGAAAGGAAAATAAGAAAAAATAAATTCAATGTATGAAACGGTGAGCTTTGTCTCCAAATTAGTGCACTCTGTGCACCCACTCCTAAGTTTTACCCGAAAGCTACACGGGAAAGCTGGCAATCAAGGCATCCTGGCACGTGCCTGCAGTAACCTTCCCACCCTAGATCGTTCCAGATACGCTAGAGCGATGAAGTTTCAGTTAGGGTCAAAGTAATAGGGGGCATCCCCTATTCCTCCTGCCCGGCGTCCAGTACTGTCCATGTCAGGTGGCACAGACCCCCCCGCCCAAGGCCAGGGATCACAGACTTCATGTGCCTAAATAAGACACCTAGCTCCTGCCTTCTCTGTGAGCCTGGGGGCAGAGAGGGGTCAGAAGTCGCTGAACTGGGAGCTTGCAAGATCTGAGAGGGGAGATTCCGTAGGCGAGGAGTGTGCCTAGGAGGGTGGCTGGGTAAGCGAAGAGGATTGGCGGCTGTGTCTCCAGCACTGGGCTAGCAGACCCTCTGAGGCGGAGGCACCTCTACTACATCCGGTTCCTAACAGCCCCGACTGCAGCAGCAGTCTCCTCCTTCTTTATGTAGCGTAGCTTCGTGCCAGCGGAGAGGACTCCTCTTCTTGCCAAACACCGTGCGTCCTTCTCCCCCTACTCTCACACCGTCCTCTGCCCTGGGCTTGGGAAGTGCTTCTTGGCTTCCAGCCCCGCGCCTTCCCAAAATCTGGAGCAGCCTGACCCACAACCCTCCTCCCCAATCATCTAGTGTCACCTTTTCCCGTTCAGGGCCCACAGGCTCCACACCACCACCCCACCCCCACCTCAGTGCCCCTGCCCCATCTGCTTTCCATCTTCCAGGAATTCGCCCTTTCCTTTCTTGGCGCCCTTCTGGAGTTATTAATCAAGTACTGCTTTTCCTGTCATTTAAGAGGATTTGAAGTAGAATGAGAGAAATACGCTAGTGCTTAGTCTGGCATTTTGACCCAGTCTCTAGGTAATTTTTACTGATTAGTCATTTCTGGCCTTTACATATTGAGAATAATTTTACCTTCATTTTCTATTTTTCTCTTTCCTTTTCACCGATTGCAAAAGAATTGCGTGCACAATGTGGGCGTGGTGTAAAATTCAGAAAATTCACACGAAGAAAATAATCAAGTGTAAGCTCATCTCCCATTGCCCACTGCTCACAGCAAAATATTAACACTTTCCATTGCCTTTCCGATTAGCTCTTACAAAGCTGGGATAATTTTGAATAGGTATTGTCATGGTAAGCCCTTTTCCATATAGAATAAACATTTGCTCACTTTATTAGATATTGTCTGAAACATGTTTTGTAGTAGCTTTAGTAAAATCAGTGTAAGGATATTTTCATAATTTAACCATTCCCTCCAATCTTCAGATGTTTAGGTTTTAAAACAAAAGCTTATAAGTGATGTTTGTACTTGAATTCTTAATCTGTTCTCTTGAACAGACCTAGACACAAACCTATAATCCAAACAATTACCATAATTCTAATAAGAATTTAATATTTCAACACTGTGAGATTATAAATCTATGGAGAAAGACTTGTGTTATAAGTGATTCAGCCATTTTTTATTATAGCCATCTTAGTGAGTGTGAAGTAGCTTTGGAAAAATGTCTATTCAAATTCCTTGTTCATTTTTAAATTGGTTTGTCTTTTGTTGCTGTTGTGTTGTGTTATTTATAAATTCTGGATATAAGATCCTTATCAGATACATTATTTGAAAATATTTTCTCCCTTTCCGAGGCTTGTCTTTCAAATTTCTTGACTGTTTTGTGTGTGTGTGTGTGTGTGTGTGTGTGTGTGTGTACAAAGGTTTTATAGTTTGTTAAAATCTAATTATGTATTTTTTGTTTATTGTTTGCATTTTTTATGTAATTTAATGTTTTCAGCTCTTATATTTATGTCTTTGATCCATTTTGAGTTAATTGTTATGTTCGATGTGATGAAGGAGGCCAAATTCATTATTTTGCCTATGGATATCCACTTGTCCCAGAACCCTTTGTCAAAGAGACAATTCAGCCCATTTAATTAATTGTCTTGGTACCTTTGTGGAAAGTAACTAACCATAGATATATAGGTTTATTTCTGGGCTCTCAATTCTATCCCGCCATTTTATATATAAATATATCTCCTCCCAGTGCCACACTTTTTTGATTATTGTAGCTGTGTAGTAAGTTTTGAAATTGGGAAGTGAGAGTTCTTCAAATATGGTAGTTTTCAAGATTATTTTGGCTGACCATGGTCCCTTTCAATTCCATATGAATTTTAGGACTGACTTTCCCTTTTCTGAAAAAAGGAGCCATTAGGATTTTCATAGGGGTTCTGCTGAATCTGTAAATCAATTAAGGGAGTATTGTCATTTCAACAATATTGAATCTTCCAGGTGTTCCATGAATATTAGGTATCTTTCAATTTATGTAGGTTTTTAAAAAATTCTTTCAGCAATGTTTTATAGTTTTGGATAAATATATTTCTAAGTTATTTTATTCATTTTAATCTAATTGTAAATGAATTGTTTTCTCAATTTCCTTTTTGAATCATGCAGTGTTGGTGTATAGAAATACAATCATTTTTTTGTGCATAGATATTGCATCCTGAAATTTGGCTGAATTCTTTTAATAGTTTTTCATGGATCCTTCAGGATTATCTAATATATAAGACGATATCATCTGTGAATAGAGATAGTTTTGCATCATCCTTTTATAATATAGATGTCTTTTATTTATTTTTCTTGCTTAATTTTCTAATCCAGATGTCTCTTATTTAATCTAGATGTCTTCTATTTATTTTCCTTGCTTAATTTTCTGGGCTAGAACTACCAGTATGATGCTTAATAGAAATGATGAAAAGAAATATCATCGTTGTCTTCTTAATCTTCGGGGAAGATCATTGTTTCACTATTGAATATGAGGTTAACTGCATTTTTCATACATGTCTTTTATCATGTTGAGGAAGTTCCCTTATTCTTAGTTTGTTGACTGCTTTTTATTATAAAAGGATGTTGGATTTTGTCAAATGCTTTTTCTTTATAGACTTAGATTGTCATGTGTTTTTTTAAACAACTTTATTGAGATACACTTGACATATTTAAGGTGTACAACTTGATATATATCCCTCTCTATATATCTTTATATGTAGAGAGAGTTATATATATTTAAGGTGTACAACTTGATATATATCCCTCTCTATATATCTTTATATGTATAGAGAGATATATATATATAGTGAAAGGATCACCACAATCAAGTTAAATAACTCATTTATCACATCTACATAGTAATCCGTGTGTTTGAATGGATGAGTGTGTATGGATGTGTGTGTGGGTGTGTGTGTGTGTGTGGTGCAAATGTTTTTTTTTTTCATACTGTTGGATGTATTATGTTCATTGATTTTATTTTAGAATTTTTAATTTATTAAAATAGACATAACATAAAAATTACCATTTTAACTATTTATATGTGTACAACTCAGTGGCATTAAGTACATACACATTGTTGTACAATCATCACCACTATCCATTACCAGAACTTTTTTATTATTCCAAAGTGAAAATAGGTACCCATGAAAAAATAATTCCCTGTTGCTCTCTCCCTCAGCACCTAGTGAACTCTTTTGTTCTTTCTGATTCCACATGAGTGGGATCATAAAATATTTGTCCTTTCTTGTCTTTTAACTTAGCATAATAAAGTTTATGTATCAGAATTTAAGTTTTTTTAAGTTTGAATAATATTTTGTTTTGCATGTCAGTTCATCTATTGATGAACATTTGGATTGTTTCTAACTTTTGGCTGTTTTGAATAATAATGCTATGAACATTGGTGTACAAGTATCTGTTCAAATTCCTGCTTTCATTTATTTTGGGTATTTACTAAAAAGTAGAATTGCTGGATTATATGATAATTAATGTTTAACTTTTTAAGGAACTACAAAACTTTTTGTCACAGTGGCTGCACCATTTTACACTCCCGCTGACAATGCAAAAAGATTCCAATTTCTCCACATCCTAGTCCATAGTTGTTATTTCTTGATATTTTTTGTTGTTGTTACAGCCATTCTATTGGGTGTGAAATGGTATCTCGTGCTTTTCATTTGCATTTCCCCAATGAATAATGATTCTGAGCATCTTTTCATATTCTTACCGGCCATTTGTATATATTCTTTGGAGATTTGTCTATTCAAGTCACTTGCCCATATTTTTAAAGTTGGGTTTTTATTGTTGAGTTGTCAGAATTCTTTATACATTCCGATATTAATTTCTCATCAGATATACGATTTGAAAGATATTTTCTCATTCCATAGGTTTTTATTTCAACTTTTTGATAGTGTTCTTTGGTGAACAAAAGTTTTTAATTTTTTTATTAAAATATAGTTAATGTAAAATATTATATTAGTTTCAGGTGTGCAATATAGTTGTTCAACCTTTATGTACCTAACAAAGTGATCACCACAATTAAGTCTAGTAACCATCTGAGACTGTATGATGTTATCACAATATTATTATTAT